CTTTACGCCAGCTGCAGACCTACGAATAACTTTAGAACTCACCAAAGCCATGATGAAAAAAGGTTAGAGACCTAAGTGGAAATTGTTCAGCTAGTCTTTTAAAATGACATTGGGGCAAATGCGATCAAATAGTATTTACATTTTTGGGACAGCATATGTAGAAACAAGGTAATTCAAGCATTTTTATTTTTGATAAGCAGATTTTCTGCTCGTAAAAGCTTCTAGCTTTAATTAACGCTATGGAATAGCTTTTGTACTTTGTGCACTTGAACAAATGCAACAAGTTCAGTAAACATAGGCGTCTCATCAGAGCCCCCTCCTCTCTTTCATCTTTCTTACACTATCTCCTTTTTCTCCCTTTCACCTCCTCTTTTGCTTTCTGCTCCTCTTTCCCTTAATTTTAGACTGATCTATGTTTTTATCTTTACCCTTACTTTTTCTTTAAGCTCCATAATTCGTGTCTCTTTTGCCTCCTCTCATTCTCAAGTTCTTGCCTATCCCTCTCCCTTTAATAGCACTCTCTTCCTTCCCTTTCTCCTTCTCTTTCCTTTCACTAGTCTTTCTCTTCTTCTTCACTAATCCGTTCCCTCCCTAGTCTTCTTTTCCTTTTGTTTTCCTCCTTCTTTCTCCCTTCTCTTCATTCCTCTGCTTTTTTCACTTCTGTTTTTCCTTCTTTTCTCTTTTTCCTCTCGAAATCAAAAAGATGTAGCAACATATATGACATATATCATATTTAATATCGGTAATAAACTTTAATGTTGCAGTACTTAATGTCCCATGGCCCAGTCGGGTCCGCTATGGAGTCTCTACCCTCTGCTCGCTATCATAGCCTTGGTTAGTGCTTTTACATGTAGTGATGGGTTACCTAACCTAAGACTTGCCATTTCAGTGCGAATTTTTCTGCGGTGTCGTACACCTGCTATTCTGCCTACCACTCTACTTTCTTTGCCTTCCCTTATTTAACGGAGTATTCGGCTTGCTGGCCTCATTTCATGCAATTTTTCTGCGTTACCCAAATAGGTAAGTTAACCTCCGCTTTAATCTCATTGTAAATTTCAAGATTATTCCAGATGTGATTTCTACCTTCAATCTATCGGATCTTTCACTTCCTTTGTATTTTTCTTCTCATCGCTTGTGGAAACTTATTGTGTTGGGGACTTTAGTGGTTTGTTTCAAATTCTTAGCCAAAATGATTTAAAGTATCTTGGTCTTGTAGAAGCGAATGCGAACATGAAGGAGGGGGTCTGCTATGGTTTAAAGTACCGTACCATATCTTCTGCAGAGTCATGCCTAGATTTTCTTGGCCCTCTGCAGATGTCATTTTTGACAAAAATCGGATGGGAAGCCAAGGTAAATTGTGATTTTAAGCTTCATTTACGTCTCAATAAGAGTTTTGGAAAAAACAAGTGGGAGAAGCTTTCCAAAATTCTCGCTCTTTCCATCAACTTCTATCTTTCAAATATGATTCACCTT